CAGAGTACATGCTTGACGAAAGCTTTGATCCGCTCCATGGCGAAGCAGTGAGTTGGCAAGTCGAATCTTATGGATAGGGGAGGTTCTAAGAACGGAACTGTAGGTATCTACCTCGACTCCGATTCGTTTAACTGTCCAAGTGATTGCTGGACGTCATCTTTCACGTCGTGACAAGCACAAAGGGATATGTTCGCCGTTTGTCGAGGTTGAACTTGTTGGACTTCCTTGCGATGAGAGATCCTACAAGACGAGAACCATCGGTGAGTCTGTGCCCTTCCAGCAATTCGTTTGAATTGTCCTCCCATAATTTTTTTAGCATCGAACGGTTTGAATCCGATTTGGAATCAGACATTCGTATTCGAAGTACATTGTCCCGAAATGGCTTTGCTGAGGTTTCAAGTGGAAGATGGCGACTTCGTTGGACCAAAAACTGATCCCTTCATTGGGCAAGCCGTCTTCCCGCTGGATTGCATACGTTGCGGTAAGCATTCGGTTGTGCCTGGAACGGGTTAGTGGGAGAAGTTCTTACGGGTCCGTTTATGACTTGAGAAAGTTCTTACGGGTCCGTTTATGACTAACTTCTTTACCTGTTCTGTTTTTTATGGGGAAAAACTGGAGAATTTTCAGGGGAAAAAACTATGGGAAAGTGGCAGGAAATTTGGAGAATTCGGAAAAATGGCACATAGGAAGGATATGATGTGAGAAGAGGAGGAGTGTTGTACCAGGGGAGGAAATTTCGAGGGAGAGGGTTGTAGTGGCAAAAATTTCCCCAGTCGGTAGTACGTGCCCTGCCTCGACTATAGAAGTGCGCTGATCCTTCATACCTTTACGGATGGCTTGCGGTCACCCGGGTATCCATCTGCTTTTGTGCTCTCACGAAAGGAGTTTGTGGAATCTGTCTGATTACTGTAGATGAAAGTCGCGTCCTCTCAAATCGTCATTCATAGTTGCCGCGTAACTCAGTGGAGAAAAGCAGCAACCTACCCAAGGAAAAGCGAACATCCTCCTCCCCCTTCTATAGTAGGTATTCCACTGATACCTTCAGAGCGAATGCTGTACCTCATATTACTCCATCAAGAACCCAGGTTACCGTTGTCATTTACACCTCTGAACCCCAGGAGCTTGCCGAAGCTATTTGAGAAAAACGAAAGGAGTGTCTGATTAACCTTGTTCGTGATAACGCCAGACCCCGATTGATGCTCCGCAATTTCCCGACCCTGCCTGGTTATCAACCTCTCTCTCCCCTTCAGGACTTTTTTGGCCAAGGGAACATTCACTAAATAGCATAGCATTGGGCGAGAGGTCACATTCTTCTTCGACTCCCAGCATCCCTATTACTGGAGGATCACTGACTGTCCATTAGATGGAGCAGAGTGTAATGGCTAACACCGATGTTAAATGGTTTCCATCGTATGCCGAGTCAAAAAACATCTGGTTCATTTATACAGAGAAAATAGAGAAGAAACAACATTGACAGGTCTTTCTTACCTACCTAATGCTTACAATTAACTGCGAAATTTTCAGGCTTCCGTTCGGTTCCTCTTCTGAATCAGTTCAGTGAGGAACTTGAATTGTCATCATTGCTTGTAGACGTCCAGATGATCTCCATAGAAGAGTCAAGCCTAATTCATTCTGCACATTCCGTGCTCCAGGTTATGAAATTTGCTCTCATTCATTCCTGCGGAATTTGTTATAAAGCAACTTAGCAGGGAGGTCGTTTAGATATGGTGAGCTTTTATGGAATAGCGGTTTGTTCATGTTCGTACGGGTCGAGCAAGGCTCATAGAACTGGGTCCATGTAAGGATCATAGAAATGGGGTTCATTTTTGCTGAACGTTATTGGGGAAGTCAAAAAAGAGGTGAAAAATCGACAAGGAAAGGCGATTTTTTTCGCACCTTATTCGGCTCCGTTCTAGCTATAGCCTGGGAGTAAGTATAAGAAGTGTTCTTTGAACAAGATCGCCCTTCATTGTCGCATTTTTTTCACTTCTTTTTTTGACATCTCCAATAGCGTTTAGCAAAAATGAAACCCATTCTCATGATCCTTGTATGGACCCCTACAACATGCAACAAACCGTTTCCAAAAAGCTCACCATGACCTGAACGACCTCCCCTGTTAGGGGTCATTTTTGACGCTTTTCCGCGCCTGAGCCGTTAGTTTCACGTTGCAGCCACGTGCGTTTAGTACAGTACAATCGATACAGCGCACGTGACCCTCCCCTCTTTCTGTTTTTGTTTGTTTTTGGAGTATAGTCATGTTCGCTGTGCACGCTGGGGTTCACATGGCTAAATCTGGTGCTTCTACGATCCATTACCAACCACATTCCGCAAGCGACCACAATTGGTGGAAAACTAGCCGCGCCAAACCCAGCCCTTCTGGATCTTGCCGAGTTTGGCGAGCGACGCTGCCCACGAGGCGTCCATTCTTGCCTGGCCTCCTTGGATTAGAACGTTAACTGGCTCTTCGAATTCGAACGCTAGGAAAAGAGAAGGGACGAAAAAAGGGATAGAAACGTAAGTACTGCATCCGCTCAAAGGCAGTCGGCACGACAAATCCCCAAGACGAGTAGGATTAATACGCCTGGCAGGACGGAATTCCGCGACCCTGAGCAGGCGCTGCATAGCGCCTTTTCCAAGGAAGGTACCCTTATAAGGCCCTATCAAGCTGCAACATACCGACCCGAACGCCCACCGCGCCCGCCCGCCCACAAATGGACGACCGTACCTGATGCTCGTATTGCTTCATTTGCGAAGTAAAATATGAAGCGAAGGGATTGATATGAAGCGGCTACAGTGCCGCATGGATATATGAGTGCATACGTGCACCCAACTTACCATAGCGAGTACTAGCAAGATACCTACGGAAAACTCATCTGAAATTGCTTTTCGGGTCATTAAGAGCGAAGTCTTTTCTTCGCAGGTTTTCGGCCGTTTCACTTGGTTTTTAGGCCGAGTAGCAAATTACCGTGCAAACAGCCTTTAATTTGACATATTCATACGTTTCGCGTCCTTTCTCGTTGTCCTCCTCGCCTGCCAAAGTGAAACTAATGACCCATTCTTGCGCAGCTCTTGGGAATATTCCAAATCACTGGAAATAGTCATCTCAGCAAATAATCATCCAAAGACTATTTAATCTATTTGCAGGCTAGCCGATTGGCTCCCGTGTTCCGCTCAAAGGATCGCCAGCTAAGGTCTTTTGACTCTC